TACTTAAATCACTGTTCTCTAACAAGATATGTACCTGAGTAGTAGGTCTTCAGATTTACAGTTCTCTAAATAGCTACCATAATGACAAGTGTCTCTCTGATATTCCATTTTCCTGAAATTACATTAGAGAAATCAGTCAAAAGGATTTGGGTAAATTGCCGCAGAAATTGCACCTTCACAAGTGAAGAGTATCAGGACCAGTGGTATTTGTCCCGAATTAAATGTTTTATTCAGAGATTATGAGTTTTCTTCACAGCAACATGCAGATTAAAACAACTGAAATTGCTAACAGCCCTTTCACATTGAGGACTTGGTTAATAGTCATAACCCTCCTGTGGTGCTGAAAATAAGACTAGTTTATAGAATATTTTCAAGTTCGCTGTTTTTTAAAAAATATATTTTTTATTGATTTCCAAGATGAAGGGAGAGATAGAAACAACAATGTGAGACAATCATTAATCGGCCACCTCCAGCTAGCTCCCGGTTGGGGATTGAGCCTGCAACCCGGGCATGTACCTTGACTGGGAATTGAACCCGGGACCTCTTGGTCTATGGGACAACGCTCAATCCACTGAGCCACCACAGCCAGGCAACAGAGTGCTGGTATTTAGACTGGTGCAGGGAAAATTCAGGCAAAACAGGATGAAGAAAAGAACCAGGGGCTAAAGATAGCCCATGGATTGATTAACAGGGTCCCAAGCAAAGAGCCTTAGTTCAACAAGTTACAAAGCTGAGCTGTGAGGACTATTAAAGAGTGAAGATCCTTCAAGGCCCAAATAACAACTCACCATGCCCATACACTTTCTATACAACTTTGAAGTCACTATCCATTAAGGGAAATAAATGATTCAGCTATTCATATTTGATCTGATTAGTACATTCAGGAAAACCACAAATCTGTTGTTTTACATACCTCATCATCCTCACCACAGGAATGACATTCTCCAGCCCTCCTTCCTGCCTTATGTGGTATTTTCCACCCAGTGCTCCAACTGTCCCCCACCTGGGAGACATATTGGACCCTCCAGACCCTACCTGGCCTGACTAAACGCAATCTCTCTGATTGGATTCTCTTTGGGTTACAGAAGAACACGATCCCTGATGCACATGCATACACTCAGGATAAAGAGATAATGCCCCAAAGGAGGTTTGAACTTTTAGAAACAACAATGCCTTGAAAACAAGTGGAATTGTTTTATTGTGTGACCAGCTAGTAGATTAGCCTGGGCAGCGAGAGCATAACCTTGAGTCGCTCATGGCTCCCAGTTAGCCTAGCAGACAGCAGAAAAGTGTTCTCTGTGGGACCAGCAACTGCCTTGGTCTGTCCTCTGTCATGGCCACAGGAGCCCCTTTGTTTCTTACTTCCCCACCTTGCTTCTCAGGAGTCCCTAAACTATAGCACCAAGTGGGCCCAAGTCCAGACACCCCAAAAAGCCCCAGATGTGAGGCCTCCAGCTGTGCAGCTTGGCCTGTTTGGCCAGCTAGGGGTGCCCACAGGGAGATGGGCTGGGCTTCTGTGGTCTCACTGGGTCCTGAGGCTCCTACACTTAGAGGGGGGAGATTGAAAGCAAATTTGATTCTGGGTTCAAATCATTTTATAGCATGATCTTTGAAGTACAGGTAAATTCCATAATAGAGGCAAAGTCCAGAATGAAAAGAGAGTAAAGCTAAAAATTAGGGAAAGTCTCCCTGAGTAGCCAAAGTCCTATGTACTTGTCCAAATGTATGTAGCCAGGTCTAGAATTAGAATAGATTTAAAATCTCCCCCTTGCCCTTCAAACATGTCACCCCTCATCTCTCTGTCAGGTTGACATTCTGTCTGTCCAACATCTCCTGCCCCTCTGGCCCTTCCTTTGCCTCACCTAGACCCTCAGCAGCATTCCCAGACCTCAACCCAGCCTCACCCAATTGGTGATCTCAGGCCCTGTGTCGGATACTACCACAATTCTGCTTCTCAATTTTTAAGTTTACAAGAAAAATGGGAGTTTGTAAAGTTTAACTCATGAGACATCCAAAAATAATAGACTGAGGGATGAAACACAGAGCTCTTCATGCTTGGTTTGGAAAGGACTAAAGGAACCAAAACCTATTGAGATCATCTCCTTGAGATAGAAAGAAGGCCACTGGGACCTATATAATATGCATGACTCCTTATTTCCCCTGTGAGTTTTCTTAGTGACCTAGAACCCTGATGGGGCCTGCATTCTAGTAAACATTTAGCCTTTATCTAGTCTTGGACATCAAAGACCAGTTTGGGCGTCCCAATTTTCTGAATGGAAATTGGGACAAGGTCTACAATGACTTTATCCACAGAGAAACAAACGAAACCTGGGCCAATGCAAATAGTATCCCTAAAGGGACTTCATCAGGTGCATGAATAATTATCTAACAAAGGGATGCCAAGGGGACATTCTTATATATTCACAGAGGAATGTTCCACTCAATATTTTGTTGACCAAATTAAGTATTTGCCCAAAAAGATGGATACTATGAATCTTTCGTATATTGGCCCATTTTTTTTTTCAGACTGGCCTTCTTGTTAACTCTAAATTATTCCTATACTAGGGGCCCAGTGCATGAATTCGTGCACCTTGAAAGGAACTGTGGGCCACGAGGCTGCAGTGGGCACAGGGGCAGGTCTTGGCCCATCCTCCACGCCCCTGCCCAGCCCCTCCTGCCACGCCCCCCTTCCCTGGCTGCCAGCAGCCCTGCTCCTGCTACCACCGCTCCCACGTGCTGATGGCTCCAGGCCCCACTCACACCTGCTGACACCCCTGGTGGTCAGCGCACGTCATAGTGACCAGTTGTTTGGTTGTTCTATTTGCATATTAGCCTTTTATTATATAGGATAGGATGTTTACCCCCAAATCTGTAGAATTTATAACTCCATCTCATCAAAAGGATTTTTCATAAGAAAGAAATATTAAGTTGTAACATATCAGTGTTTTTAAACTGCTTCAAGAATTCAAAAGTAGTAGGGCCAGTGTGGTTCAGTTGTTTGAGCATTGTCTTGTACACTGAAAGGTCACCAGTTCAATTCCCAGTCAGGGCACATGCCCAAGTTGAGGGTTCAGTCCCTAGTTGGGTTGCATGCAAGAGGCAACTGATGGATGTTTCTCTCTCACATTGATGTTTCCCTGTCTCCCCTCTCCCTCTCGCTCTGAAATCAATAAAAACATATATTTTTTAAAAGATCTCAAAAGTAAATGTATCTAGGCTAAGTAGGTGGGGCTCCATTGCTCACTCGTGCTGGTCCATACCCTTCCCTCCCAATCAGATACTTTTGACTCTTTTACATATTGAGCTTATTATTCTGCTGTTTGTAAAGGGGACTTGGAAAACCACTGACTTAGGTGGGCAGGCTGCCGTTCCTAGATTGTCCTCAAACAGTACCAGCGCCAACACCCCCACTGTCAAGAAACAGTGGGAAATCAAGGTCTTTTCTTGAGGATGGAATCCAGATGTTTCCTTCATTCAGGGAAGAAGGGATGGATGGAAGCTACAAATTGCTTCTAGACTTTAAAGAAGTGTCCAACTTAAGTAGGCAAAATATACCTTTTAATAACGGCTGTACTACAATCATTCCTGCATTTCTGGTGTTTCAAAGAAACAAACCAACAAAACAAAACAAAAAAACCCTAAACTAAAGAGCAATTACAGAAAGCAGATGTTTACAAATGCAGTCATCATTTAGGGAATGGAAAGTACAGAGTGCAAGTACAACCTACAGAAAGCAGATTCAAACTGTAATTACAGAGCAGCTAAATGGTTATTCATATTACAAAGTGGTGTTTTTTTTTCCAGAGCATTTCTCTACATAGCATTGTCACTTGGCATTTAAACGATAACTCGTTTACAAACAATGTTTAATTTATAGACAACTTCAGGAAATAGGCATTGGAGTAAAATGAGTGGGGAGAAGGATCAGGGGAAGGGAGAATGGAACAGCCCCATTCTGTAAGTGTCTGTCTGGAGTTGTAGAGTTCCCAAATATTAGATGCAGAGTAAGGCAGGAGGAAGCCTGTGGGGTGACAATAATCACAGTGACTTTTTTTTTTCTCAAATAATGATTCTTAACCTGCTTTCCAAGCAGGTTTTGTGGAACTGTGGCTAAAATTTCCCAGACACAGAGACTAGCATGAGGCTACAATACAAAGATATATCACTTTGGACACATAGGATACGTGGTATCCTATATGGTAAACCCATGGATTTATGTCACTTTGGACATATAGGATACAATGGGTATAGTATCCTCATGGATATCATATACAGATATTTCACCTGAATGCAAGTATATTCATTTAGACACGGTTTGGGGTTTTCTATTGAAACAATGTTTCAAATCTTTGTTGCAAGAAAAAAAATGAGGCAATTGACAGATATTTGCCGGTTTAAAAATATCAGGAAACCCTGGCCAGTGTGGTTCAGTTGGTTGGGCATAGTCCCATGCACAGAAGGGTTGCCAGTTTGATTCCCAGTCAGGGCATAGGCCCAGGTTGCAGGCTCGATCCCTGTGGGGGGGCGTGTGGGAGGCAGATCGATGTTTCCCTCTGATGTCAATCTTTCGCTCTCTCCCTCCCTACAAAAACCAACTTTAATATCTTAAAAAAAAATCTTTAAATTAAAAAGACAAGTAATAATTTGGTCCAAAAAAGGCCAGTACACTTAGCTTCAGGCACTGGGGTAGAGAAGAGCCCTTTCCAGTGGGTTCAAGGGTGATATTGGGGCATCACCATGAGAGACCCTCTTTAGATTCCCCACCATCCACTTGGCTTCCAGCGGGAGAGAAATAAAGCAAGCAGAGGCTGAGACTGGCATTACTAGTTTGCATTTTATAAATGACTAAGCAACTGAAGCAGGTAACACATAAATATGGGTGTTTTGAGAATAAATCAAAATCCATACAATGAGTTTATTTCCTCTGGTTTTTAAAAAAATGGACAGAGAAGAAAGCAAGGAGGGAGAGAAAAGGATGGAAAAGAAAAGGGGAAGGGAGGGAAAGGAAAGGAAGAAACTAGAAGAGAATGGGGTGGGGGTAGGGGAGAAAGAGAATGAATGAGTTTCCAAAGGGGCTTATTCCCAGGAAATTATATTGTGGCAATTCAGAGGAATCTGTGAGTGGAGGCGGGAATAACAACTCTGCTCACTGTGAGGGATGGCAAGAGAGGTCTTGGGAACACATTGGTCTCCAATGGATGGGGCCTGTTTTCCTGCTTGGCCTCCTTGAGAATGCACTTTTGGGTGTTCATGGGAGGTCTCAGCTCCCTGGCTTTGAATTTGGCTTTGTAGCTTTGCTCTTTCTGTTTTTGCAAAAGCTGCATAGTCCTGAGACAGTGAACACTATTGGGATTGGGAGGGCACATCAGGTTTTTCTTAGGCAGGAGGGACCAGTGCAGGCTGCCCAGTTCTGGATTGGCCAGGAGGTTTGTCCCAACCATTGGTGAAGGAAAAGGCTGCATGCAGTTGACCTTAAGGTGATTGGCCAGCTCAAAGGGTCTCTTTCCATCTTTCCCTTCAACTATTTTCAATCCATATGCACAAGCCACACACTCATCCTTTTTCACACTCAGCACCTTCTCTTCTGGCTGCACGAGCAAGTTCTTACTCTTCTTAACCTGAACATCCAAGCCATGTGGGGCTGAAGAATTCAGGGGAGGGAGAACTAAAAGGGCCTTGGAATTCAATGAGTTTGAGATGGAGGGACCTTGATCAGTCCTGCTGTTGGAGTCTTGGTCCCTACCAGTCTCTGGGATGGCCCACTCTTCCATGCACCAAAAAAACTCCTTTATTTGCAGACTTTTTTTCTCTCCCTGACTATGGGAGGGAGAGCACATCTTGCTAATATTCCTGGAGGCAGTGGTGGGGCAGCCAGTGGGGAGCTGAGTCTGGGAGGGGCCACCTCGATCCTCCTCTGAGCCTGCCTCAGCCAGAGCCCTTGACTCCAAGCTTCTAGCCTCAGTCTGAGGCCCAGCCTCGGGGGTCCCTTGGGAGAGACTGACACAGAGTAAACAGCCGCTGACACTTTCTCCCACCTTCGCCTTTTTACATTTCTTTCTGGGCCAAATGCAAGCAGTTGGAGAAGTCTTTCCCCAACCTCGAACCTGAAAATAAAGCAGCATATTACTCTCAGCTGATTGGCTGCCCCAATTTTGGTCCCATTCCCATTTTGGCCATTTGAACTAATCAGTTTCTTTAAACAGATGTTGTTTGTTTGTTTGTTTTGTTGTGTTTTTTTTTAACTTTCAATACCTATGTTAGCCTCACATAAATAGTATTTTTAAATCTGAAATACTAGCAATAGGTTGTTTAAAATATTTGTTTAAAATACTAAGCAATAGATTTGTAATTGCCCACTTTGATGTGCTGACTATATATTTTTTCAGATGTACATTAAATAAAAATCAATTCAAAACTATTTGTCCTTGTCCCCCCTGACAGGCTTTCTTGTCCTTCCAGGCTCTGTTTACCATATCCAGGAGACTCCT